ATATATAAGGTGAGGTTTGTATGGAGCCGAGGCTCTAAACAATAAAATTAGAGCCTACCTTGAAATAATATCGAGAAATATAGTTTTATTACTGAAAAGTTTTGTGATAGCCTTAAATTAGATTTTCATCTTTAATTATAAAATTTAAAGCTTAAACAATAGTATAGATCGATCAAATCTATGAAAACTTAAAAATCTTTAAAATAAATGATTCAAAAATACGTTACAATATGCATTATTTTCAAAACTAAAAATCCATTTTTGCTCATGTCCATGCCATGTTGATGTCGAAATTATCAAATTGATGATATTTGAGCATAAAAAAAACTTCTTCTAGCAACATTTTTGCGGTGTGCTGTAATTTGATTGTGTAGAGCCTCTACGTATATAGTCCTCAGGAGAGCTTTCCCATGATTAAAACCCATGTAAGGAAGGCAAGACCGAGCAATATTGGATCGAGAGCGAGAGTAGGAGTGGGATACCTCTGAAAAATACTTGGAAGAGAGAGAGAAGAGAGAGAACAGACCGACATTTGGAAGAGAGAGATGGCTGGATTGCTGGCATGGGCGGCGGATGTAGTGGGAGGAGGCAGCGGAGAGGAAGAGAAGAGCGTGGTGCTTGCTCACTTTACGGCAGAGCAGCAGCGTTATTTGAGTGAATTGGATGAGAGGGCGCGCGTTTTGAGCAGGTCGATTGAGCAGCTGAGGCTTCGCCTTCCCCCTTCCGACATCTCCCAGCGCCTACCTCATCTCCATGCCCACTCCAAAGCCTCCAACGCAGCCCTTGCCCTCCAACTCAACGCCCATTCCGCTACTCGACAACATGTATGCCCCGCCCCCATCTCCTTCTTCAGTCGTTTTCGAATCATAGAGTTTATGCACATTAGTCATTGTTTGGGTTTGGGGATGGGGGTTGCTTGTGACTTACTGCGTTTGATTCCTTTTACTCCGATTTGTGTGTGTATGTGTGTCATTGGGAGAAATATGGTTTCCTACACCATTTAATGGGTCTTTTTGAGTAGGGTTGAAGTATTTTTGGGTCTTCTGATCTAGGAATGAGTTTTTTTTTTTTAATTACTTTGCATTCCTTTAGCTCGGGTTTTTCTTTATTGGATTCTTTTTTGTAAGGTTCCAAATATATTTTTGGTTTCCTGGCCTGAATTTGGGAGTTATGGATTGATGATATGTAGTATATGTAAGATTTTTTGTGTTTTTTTTTTCTTTTTAACTGATTGCTTGGGCACTTGCAATGCAATTGCAAATTGGGAGTGTTCTCATTAATTTCGTTTTCACATATTATGTAAAATGGGTAGATTGGTTGATTGCCAAAGTTGGAAGTTTACTATCTCATAGTCTTTTCTTATTGAATTTGGTCATAATCTTCCTGCTTGATTGATCTCATTGTAGGCAATTACAATTTTTTTTCAATTGCTATTATTATCTTCGTTATCGCGATACTGGAATTTCCGATTGATTGATTAATGATGTTCAAGAGGATCATTATATTCCCAAACTTGGTCCTATTACAAATTGGACATGTTTTTAATCATTGTTCTGATTGCAACTTCCATGTGAAAAGACAATCTAACCCCCAGAAAACTTAATGGGTAAGTGTCGCCTTGTTTACCATCGCATCATGGCTGTCCTTTACATTGGAGTATTGATCCTTTTGTGGAATCCACCGACAATCTAAAATGCTATTATCAAAGCTATGTAGTGGTTCACATTAGATGACTATGGCTACAATAATTTCATTGGCATAAATTATTTAATGCCATTCCTTCTAGTTCCAGTCATATATATATAA